TAGACTCTTCCACTGACGAACCGTGCTAGCAACTCGCAGATGGAAGTTTGTTTTGCGATGATGGTGTGAGTTGCTGCCGTGACCTCCTGCTTTCATCTCACGTCACTGATTACTCTATGAATCAACTTCGCAGAAAAGCAAGCATGCTGTCACAACATGGTGGTTCCCCTACACAGCGAGATGCTCCGGTCTATTCGGGACTTCTCTGAAGCCTAGCAGGATGTTCAATTCAACATTTACATGCGGCGAGATAATATCCGAGCTCTTCAACATCTGGTGCATATCTCCACACCTTTCCAAACCTCCTACCTCAGTTGCCACTGCTTTCAAAGCCCCGCCGTTTCTCTTCGACTCTCTTTCTCTCATTCTTCCGCATCGATATCAATCCTTTGTCGCCTCATACTTGTCAATCTCCACAGCCTTGTAGTGCTCCATGTGCTAATACAGGTTCACTTCGGTACAGGCTGCCTCAAGAGCAAAGTAAGGCAATGACACTTAGATAGGAGCCGCCTGCGGCGGATAGGGCGCCCACCTCGTAAGCCTTGGAGGATTTGGGCAAGTCAAGCATGGCAGGGAGACGATATGCGTCATTTCTTTGGGTGCTGATATTGACCCGCTTGGACGCCAGATCATGGAAAGCTTCCCTGTACTGATCACCCTCCAACGATCTCCTGCCTGGATCTTTGAGTATGTCCAAGATTGATTGGGCATGACGCCACATTTACGGCGGCGCTTCAAAGGTCTGCTCTCCTTCTCCGGTGCTGGTTTGTCGCATCTGCCGCAATGGTTTACCTCGCCTGCCTGGGCCACCACAGACGCACAGACGTGATGGAAGAGCTGCTTGCGCTTGCACCATGGGACATGATACACGCCGATGCAAACAAGCAAGACCGGATCATTCGTCAAGTGTGGCTGCTTCGAGAAGATGACCGTAACTGGGAAACGTCATCTGTTCTGAAAACGTTTCGAAAAGAGCGATGCCTAGGATGTGTGTATGCCGGGACGTTGCCTGCTGCCAGTGATGACTGATGCAGGATGACTCTGAGAGTATAGGCGGTATTACCCTACATGACCAATCTGCCAAATATAGGGTAAGCTTGCCATATCCTACCTATTCACCATGATCATAGTGAAGACTAAAACAAGATTCCTAACAAATTTATTACTGATGATAAGGAATGTATACTACACACTAAGTATATTATTGAATGCTACAAGTGTCACTCATTCAAGCAATACAACTTGCCATGTCCCATCATTATGATCATAATAGTGCCAAACTAATAAAAATATGATAGATCAATACATACTTAGTCAGTTTCATTTTGATTGATATCAAGTCTACCAATATCTTCAACTAATTCATCATCGCCTTCCTTCTTATTCGTTGCTGCTCCCATCGTTTCTTTCTTTTGCTTTCGCATTTGCCTCTTTCTTTCATTGATCTTATCCTTGTTCTCTTGATAGTACTGTTTACTCCTTTCTTTATCTTCTTCCGCATGTTTATCATAGTATTCCTTGCGTCTTTGTCTATTTATCTCGCGTTGCTCTTCTGTAAGAGTCTCCCTACGCATCTTGCTCCTCTCACTTATTTTTTCCTTGTTCTCTTGATAGTAGTGTTCATAGCGCTGCTTCAACTTCTCTTTGTTCTCTTCAGCATACTTCCTGCTGCGCTCCTTCAAATGCTCAGCATTCGCCTCACTATATTCTTTCTTGTCACGTCCCGATACAATGGAACTCAATGTTCCTATCTGCTTTATGATGTCACCTTCTTTCTTCCTCAATTCTGTTCTGTTACTACATGGAAACCGTTCATACAGTTCTATCTTCCACTTGTCCACACCATGCTGACGCATCGTCTTGTACAATAAGCAATTGTATGTCTTCGATTTCTCTAATAAACAATCTTTCTTGTGCTCCGACCATCTCACAATGATCAGGAGATAACATTTTTTGTTCAGTACGACCGGTACACAAGGGAAAGAAAAACACAGGGATAGAGGATCGCACAAGTAGGAAGGAAGGGGGGTGGGGGGTGATACATGCCTGTAATCCCGTGGGGTGGGTCAATTGATACCCCATCTAAAAACCACTGCAGAAGGGGTGAAGGTAACGTTTACATTTTGAAAGTACCGGTGCTACAATGCAAACTACCACAGTGGTACAACCAAGTGGTACAACCAAGAGCACCACAAGCATTCCATCGTCGCCTTCCAGCTTATTTCATCCTTCATCATCCGGTATGCACTCATTTCTTGCTGTTTGCCAAGCAATCCCTTCCATCTTACACCAGTCTTCAGGATTGGGCCTGGTCACATTGCAGGATTGGGGCAAAACATCGCGATATATCATCGGAACTGGACTGAAAATGGCAGCACATGCTTATTTGGACCTGATTGTCAGTTGCGGGAAAGAGATGATGCACAGTTGAAGGTATGTCGAAGTTGCCAAAAAAAATTCCATATTCGGATGATGTGCCTTTCAACGTGCTAATAGCGATCAAGGGGACTATTGCGGAACATGTCAGCGAGGCGGCAAGAGACTTGGGGTGGGTGGCAGGCCACGTAAACGGACGCGGGAAGGAGATGAGTTTGACATACTGTCCGTTTTCAATGATCCCGACGCACCGATGGCAACGAACAGTGACAGCAACGTGCAAGCATTCAGGAACTTAGAATCGCACAGGGTCAGCATCAGCACGCAGAAAACCTACCGTAAGAGCATGGAAGGAGGAGGGGAGGGATACTTGCAATGGAGATCTCAGGATTTTAATGAAAATTAGCTAGCGTTTTCAGGATTTTTCCTAGTTCAAATTCCTGTCCGCCGGATTTCCTGAAATCCCAAACTTTATTAAAACTATTTTAGGGGTGCGGAATCTGAGTACCCCTACTTTTACGGGTTGACAGAGGGGATGTCTTATTTGTAAAAATTTATTGAAAAACATCATGACCAAAACAGGAAATTTCAATTAGAGATTTTTTTTCACTCAACTCTGGACCTCTAATTGCTCCTACCCCCTAAATCCTGAGCCTCCTGCGTAGTAGTTTATTGCAGCCCCCGGCCCCCTCCACCCCCCACCCCCCCTTTCATACCTGCAACCCGCGCAAATCGCTCAGCATGGCCACAGCCGCTGGATCACAAGGTAGCCGTCAGAAATGCTTGTTCGGTTCACGATGCAAGGTTAGGGACGACGCAGCTCAACTGTATCAATGTACTGTCTGCTCAAACATGTTTCATCATCTTTGTGCTAGTGAATGGAGTGAAGAGTGGAGTGATTGTGGTTGCTCGACTCGCAACCCAAAAGGAACAAAGGGACCAAAAACTTCAGCGCAGCAGCAAACCCCAAAAGTTGTTCCTTCCATCTCTGAAGAACAAATCGCGGAATCAATTGTGGAATACGTTTCAGGGACTAACAGAACTAGACGGGTATGCAACAAGGAGAACGATCACAGAAGAAGACTACGTTTCAGGGACTAACAGAACTAGACGGGTATGCAACAAGGAGAACGATCACAGAAGAAGACGACGACGAGGACGATAACGAGGAAGTGGAGGAAATGGAAGGCGAGGACGAACAAGAAACAAGAGAAAAAATCGAGTCTGTCAAAGACAGGATGCTCTCGGACAATTCGAAGGCATGTTACTTCAGTTCTGTAAGTCAGCTGATTGCATGGTTGTATGAAACCAAACCATTTTGTTTGAATCACGAATTCAAGAGTTGTTTAGACAACGAACCCAGAAATCGTGGTCCAATTACCAAGAAGATCAAAGAATTGTTGAAGAGAAGAGAATTGTTACCATTCAACACGAGAAGGTTCTCATACAAGCAATGGACCAGCTATGTGGTAAATGTCATGATGAAAAAAAAGTTGAAATTCTCGTCATACGTAGCTTTGAGATCAGGTGTTAGGCATTTCTATAGAAGGCACCACAAGACCAAAACGTACAGGAGAAAGTTCGACGTTCAGATAGCCGATTTCTATAAAGGTCTTCAGAACACCATCGCAGATGAGAGAGCCGTGAGTGGAACGAAATTGTCATCTGGCAAGGATCCATTACCCTTTAGTTTGTATGTCATAATGGGTGGAGAGTTGCTGAAATGTAAGAAGATGGATTTAATAGTTGGTCGTACCTTCCTGATACTAAGTTGGAATCTGATCTGCAGATCTGTCAATACGGCTGAGATTCTGTTTCAACACATGGGATGGAAAGACGATCACATGTGGATATGTTTTCCTCATAGCAAGACAGATCAAGTTGGAGAACGGAACGAGCCGAAATCAATATATGCCAATCCGATCTGTCCTGCAATTTGCCCCATTCTTGCTATGGGTGTGTACCTTATGAGTCATTCTCCAGACACCAGGAAGTTGTTTCCAGGTGTACTTGGCATGAAATGTGGTTGATAATGATGCATTTTTTGGGCATGATAGGTGGCAGTCAATACCATCGTTTTGTCAATTGTCTGCAGAAAGTCATGACACTGCCCGAACGGGGTGAGTGTGATGAATCTTCTAACGCACAGGATGCTCCGTATGATTACCGAGCCATTCGGAAAGCTGTCTGTCAGGAGCTGCAAAGACTTGGGATGAACAAGGAGGATTTAGGCACCCACTCCATTCGAAAGGTGAGATATTGATTGATGATGTGAAGATTGTTTGAACCCTACGTGTAGGGTGCAGCGACGTATTGTACAAGTGGTTCTACTCACTGTCCATCAGTTACCGCGGTTTCTGACCGAGCCAGTTGGAACAACGGAACAATTCCCAAGACTTACTTCAAGTACGAGGCTGCATCAGATCTGTTTGTTGGTCGTACGGCCTGTGGATTACCCATTCATTCGGCGATGTTTGCGTCATTACCTCCACAGTTCAAGAAGGGAAATGATGAATTAGTACAGAGTACGATTCAGTTATGTTTTCCTACATTGCCAGGGAATATGAATGGGATTCTGATACATTGCTTAGCAAGCATTGTGTATCATTTCGATTACTTGAGAAAGGAGTTGGACCCCAGTCATCCATTATGGAGCTGCGCATTGTTTCGGGATACTGGAATTTATGAACAGCTGAAAGAGCAAGTTTTAGTTCTGCTTCCTACAGACGTACCCATAGAGATGAATGAAAGTTCCGAGAACATGATGTGCACTGTGCAGGTTCCCATTTATCGTAGTACTGGATGTCCGCCTCATGTCACATCACTGGTTCACGAAAAGCAGTGGATGATGAAGACACAACTTTTGCAAGAGAAGCTTGATCAAGTGGTGGCAGGCAATGAACAGCTGGTGGCAGCCAATGAACAGCTGGTGGCAGCCAATGAACAGCTGAGACTGAAGCAAGACAGCATGATGCAAAAGATGGAGGTGGAATTCAAGGAGATTGTCAACTATTTTAAACAGTCTCAGGGAAAGAATGAGGAAAATCGCCTGCTATTGCTACAACAGCTTGAAGTATCTATGCAACAAAATCATGGCCACGAGAACTTCACGGTGCAAATGCAACTACGAGAAGTAGTTGCAAAGCTACAGGAAGGGTGGGACATGCAGAAACGGATGATAGAGAATTTGCAGCAGCAACAACTTGAATTGCTCCAGCACCTGCAGCAGCAGCAGCAGCAGCAGCAGCAGCAGCAGGTAGTGCAACCACAGCAAGTGCAACAACGGCAAGAGGAAGTATGTCAGGAGCCACTTCATTCACAGCAGCAGCCGGAAGTACAGCAGTGCCAAGGTCAGAGGCTTCTTCCGGAAGATATACGAGTATCGGACGAAGCAGGAGTAACAGAGGCAGCCTGGAGCATTTGGCATTGTGGCAACAATTTAAAAGGACTTCCACCGCTGAAACGTATGAGGGGAAAAGATTTGACACAGAAGAGCCAAGATAAACGATTGACAGATATGAAGTTTTTCATGAGGCATTTTCATCAATTCATAAGGAAGGTGATCAGGGACAGCGAACAGGACAATGAAGCGAGAAGGAGGGAAATGGACCAACTGGTTTGTATAGAGCGGGGGAATCCTTCAGTCCGAGAAACGAATGAATTCTTCATGAAGTATGCCCATCAATACCTGAATTGGATCGACATTGGAGCTGCCAGTAGCAGTTCGACGAATCGAAGTGGACAGCTAAAATGGACAAGTTATGTTCGCAAACTGCGAGTCAAGTGCACCTCTAGACCTGATGAACTGGAGTGGCTGTGGAATTGAAGTTTAGATCTTACATAAATGGTATGGAACCTCGAACCGCGGGTGACGTAAAGATGCAACGATGCGTTCAAGTTGTGTGTTGACTCGAATTGTGAAAATTTGGCTAAGTGTTGGACACTCTGAGGCGGGTGGCCACACAAAGCGGAGGGTGGGGATGGGGGTTCGACATGCAGGGGTGGGTACTAAATGATACGTTTAGAGGGGTGGGGTCCATTTCCGAACAATTTTTATGTTACTTCTATAGTAAATGGAAAAACCGACAATAAAGAATTGTAATCTCCTGTTTTGGTCTTACAAGTGTAAATATTTTTCTTGAAATCGTAGGGGTCACTCGCCTACGGGTATATACTTCTACCCCACCTTTATACCTAAATTATACGATAAATTACCGGTCGTACATCGGACTAGCCAGGTGTGGGGGGTTCCCCTCCCTCTCTCCATGCTTCCCTGCCCCTCCCTGCTCCCTTTCCTCACCCCCTGCTCCCCTATCCATCACAGCGGCCCCAGTTAAGACACTGTGAACAAATGAATCTTCCTCGTCGTGTATCAGCATCAAATGGAATTCAGAAAAGGCGAAGGCAGGAAGATTTCGACACATCCTTGGAGCAGGAAGAGACTTGTGATGAGTCAAAGACACCTGAAGATTTGAGGCTTCCAATGATCCTGCAGATGTCAGTTGATGATCGAGACTTGCCCAGGATGTACTGGAACAAGCCAAGGAGTGATTTGAATATCAGACTTGAGCCTGGCATAGGGGTTCAATATCAGTGTGAAGATCACAGGGGCGTTGAAGTGAATCGACTGGGGATGATCAAATCGCTGGATTCAGATGCACAGGTTGTCGAAGTGTACATCATGTATGATCGAGTCCTCTTGGAACATGTAGACGAGAACATTACAACTAATCGAGTACCCTGTGTGGGCCCTGAAAAGAATTTTGACCAAAATTGGAAACCGTGATTGCTTTCAATCAAGTTACAAGGATACGGTCGATGTAAAAGCTATACAAAACATTTGTTTCTTCAGCTTTCCTTGCATGTTGGATCATGCCAACGATGATCTCGAGGATAATTTCAGAGTGCATGGGTACATATTTTTTCATGAAGACAATGTCAAAAAGAACAAATACTGTGAAATCTCTCACTTCTCCATGGCAAACCCGGCATCCCTCGTTGAAAAGATGGTGCAAACAACTTTCTGTTCTGCGTCGGAGTACAATCGGATTTGTCGAGATATGACTGAAGTCAAAAAGAAGTTGAATCAGTGGTTGAAGTCAAGAAGTGAGACCTTTGAGAAGAAGGGAACTCGTGAGTATGAATTCAAAAGCCATGAGATTTCATTTTGTGCACTGTTGAGACTCATTCCAGCACAATTATGGAACCATTTGAAGGTTGAAAGGAGAGAATGGAAATACCCGTGACAAACTGGTTACAAGCCATGTTTATGAACGTGTACAAACCTCTGTGTCTTTTCGCTGCCTGCCTGATAACCTCAGGATCATCGTTGTCTTTATCCAAACCTGCCGCCGCTAGATCCCTTTTCATGTTCTTATTCGCTTGGGCACCCGCTTGCCTCCATGCTCCTCTTCCCCGCAACTGATAAGTACATTAAGTACGCAAGAATGAGGTTCGAAGTTCAATGCAAACTCTACCTTATGTCTTAACTCGTTGGTGCTCATACTGAGAAGTCCTAAGGGCAGTTCATTCACATCCATGTGATGACGGAAAAGGTCTGAGACATGTCCCGAACTCAACATATGGAAGTAAATTGCTGAAAACATTTGTTTGTCGCCAGTCAAAGACACGTACTTGATTACAAACGAATTGATCCTTCCTTGTAGGGATTCTATCTCTCCGGGTTGAAAATAATTTCTGTGGGTTTTTGTGATTGTAGAAAGGATTCGAGACCAGATCTTGAAAACCTCTTGGAACTGGAACTGATTGTTCAGTACAGAATCGTTGATTAACACATCAACAATTCTTGGTAGAGCAACTTCCACCATATCATCGCACTGCTCACCATTCAAGCTTGGTAGTCTATCAGATGATCCTTCCAGATTGTAATTAATTCCAGATGTCACCAATACACGATTGACAGCTTGGAGCAATCTCATCTTGGTGGCTGTTTTGTAAAACCACTTGACAAAGCATGAAGTAATCCTCAGCTTGAGATGAAGCATGCAAAGAATCATACTTTTGCATGTTAAGCCACATTGGTTGAGCATGTCATGTTGTCGCGTGAAAGATTCATCTTGCTTCAAAACCACTACCCTTTGCCCTGCGTGCAACATATTTGATGATCTTGAACTTCGCAGAGCAGCCTTGTCAGCCTGACTGAGAGTTTGGCGGTTGAACATACATAATTGAACAATGTTTGAACCGCCTTCAGCTGCACCGTCGTTGAGAATCCAAAAGCAATCTACAGGTATCGACACTTCCGCACAAAAATTAGAAACAGATTGCTCTGTCTCGACATTGATTATGTGAAACATCTCATGCTTCGCACTTGTACTGATGTTGCAAAACAAGCAGCAGTGCGTTCCACGGATACCTTTCATCGCAACCAGATTCCAAAACCCTTTCATGTCACCCTTGAAGTAAATTTCAAGGGGCAATACCACCTCTGGAACATCTTCCAGAGAAGATGCTGTCCGTGCCCGACCTCCAAGACAGGTAAGTTGGTTGGTTTCAGGATCGCGATAGAAATGCAGCCCAGCCTTTAAAATTTTCCCATTATCTAAGGTAGTGTCTTTGATGAGCGCAATCAGCTCTTGCAAATACATTTCCCAAAAATTTCGCTTCACATTTTCGATAGTATCATCCATACATATTAAAAGAAATGTAGCTAAAGACAGTGGGGAATTAAGAAAATCTTCCTGCTGCCTAACAAGTGTTTCCACAAATCTTGAAAAGACAGCTGCGCAGGTTAGGGTAAATTCACAATGCGATGAGTTAGATTGAGCAGATGAACCCAGTCTTGTTCCGTCGAACGCAAGCAATGTAAGCAACTTTTTGATGTCCAACAGATGAACATGTTGTTGTTCCATGTATTCCATCAAATGCAGTTCGAGTCTCCTTTCAAGAGGAATTCTGTATCCATCTGCAGTTTCCACAAGCCCCAATAATTCTTGGACATGCTTTTTGATCTGAGCTCTTGAAGTTGTGACCAATTTGGGACAAGGCATCATACCCGTGTAGTGATACATCGAGTATACATGACAAATAGAGCTATGCGAAATTCCCCTCTCCAGGGACTCCCTTGCAATTTGTTCAGCAGTCGGCATCAAACATGAAGAAATTCTACGCAGAGCCATACGTATCGAATTGTTTGAGAGGATACGGCATCTGAGAGTTTTTGTGATCGAGGATGAAAAACCGGAAAGAAAATTTTCCAAATTCAACACAGAGGTTTTTCTCTGAGGTATTGCAATCAGATAACCAAACATCTTGCTGATTGAATAACCAGGACTCAAGTTTTGCAAGCAAGATTCCAAAATACAAATGACGGGCTGTAGACAACTCAAAACTGTTCTCAGGTATCCGAGATGATCACTTTCTGACATGCTGTCAACACCTTGTGGATATTCCTTCTTCGGAAAAATCGTGCGCCATAAGTTGGCAAATGTGAGTTTCTGAATATCAAATAAAGGTTTCAATTGTTCTGACTTCTCCCGCAAAGCAACAATCTCTTGATTTAGACGTGCGTTCTCATTCTGCAATGTGTTGTAGTCCTCTAGAAGCTTGAAGTACCGACGAAAAGTGCTGCCAAAAATTGAGGTAGTAGAGAACATGTATCCCTGTCCGATCCTTGTCAGGAACATAAGAACGTCTGGGGTGTCACGGCCGCCCGGAGAGATCAGGCCCCCGGCCAATCCGAGGCTCCGGACACTTAGCCTCCTGGCGGGCCTCCAGGGGGTCTGAGGCGGGGCTGAAGGCTGCAGTCGGTCTACTGACGGGCCCGGCCGGCAGGATCCGTCGAGAAACAGGGGGGTCAAGGGAGGTTTTCTTCCCCCTGGGAGAAATGTCCAATGGGTTTTTGGATCTGCGATATAAAAAAGTCTTGTCTCGGTCACGTGATGTGTCACGTGACCGGTCAGGTGAGCCTGTCAGCCGGGTCACGGCCCCTGTCAGCCGGCTGACATGTCACGGGCCTGCTGACACGGTCCGCTGACCGGTCACGGCCGCCCGGAGAGATCAGGCCCCCGGCCAATCTCCCATAGCGTTGTCGGGTCAAGGAACTTGCTGACAATTGGGATTTGTACCAGATCCAGGCGTTTTCCAGTACAAAAATTTGTGTGTGAGTAAAAAATCCAAGGATTGGAAGGTTTAAAAATCCATTTCCAGCGCTGCAAGTTCAACGGCAACGGCGGGGGTAATTGAGAGCTTAGATAAGTAAACAATCGTTCCTATTTGTCTTTGGATAGGGTCACATAGCGCTTGTATAGTGGAGTAATGATTTGTACCAGAACCTGATGGGTAGGCGTGGTAGTATTTCAAATATTCGAACCCAACGGACGCGACAGGGGGGTGGGGGGTACAGGTCTTGGTCTGGTACTGTAATGGGTACCTTTTAAAATACATTTAGCAGAGGGTGTCTCCCTCCCCATCTCCCTGCCCTCCACACTTGCGCATCCCTATCCTTCCCTGTCCATGAGTCTCAGACTCTCGTCAGACCTTCCCTGATGACCCTCAACTTTCTTTCACGCTTCTGTCTGCCTTGTCCTTCCTCAACTTGCTGGGAATTCAAACTCTGAAACCATGCCCATGAGTTGACTAGCACTGAGTTTCTCAGTTTGAATGCGGGAGGAAAGATGATTCATGGAATGAAACTCAGGTGTGCATATTTTAAGCTGATGGATACGAGTCGTAAAGTACTGGCAAATGACTGTCATTTTACTTCTTAATGATACAGCATCAAGAACTTGCTCTCGATCCATCAGTACTTGCAAAGGGTCATTTTTCAGACAGAACTTCGAGTTCATCTTTATTTTGCGTCGATCCACACGATGACATCTGTCTGATACACTATGTTTGATGAATAGTAAGAAAGAAAGGCTGAACTGTGCACCGCTTGACTGAAATTTTTACAATACTCTTCAATTGTGTAAGAGAGCATGTCACATGTAATCATACCAGGCAAACAAGTCACAGTATCGCTCCAAACCGCGTTGTGCTTGAAACTGAGGCTCTACATGAAGATGTTATCGGACTAGTCGAATGATGTACAACTTTATGGTGATACGTGGTTTAGAACTGTTGCAAAGCGGACATGGGAATATGTAGCGGCCTAGGTGATGTTTTCAACGTACTTCAATAAAACAAAGCCAAGTTGTTGCTAACAACATCATCATTTCTCCATGAGCCTGCATGACCTGATGTACATGTTAGAGAAGTCGATGCTCATTCATCAAAAGAGTGGTTAGACAAGAAATTGGTAGATGCTTCTGCGCAGCATTCTTGTGTATGTGGAATCGTGCACACTCACCGTCGTGTGGAAGTGTTTGCACATTCTTCTGCGCAAGTCTCATACATTGTCCTTATCATCTGGAATGGTTGACTTTCGCTGCAAGTAATATGAGCAGCGCAAAGTTTGGCAAACTTATCCATATGGTTGGAATGCCGGCGATGCATTGCAGCCTGCATAGCACCTGAGCGCTTTGTTCCACTTATCGCTTGGTTCCAAACAATTGATGATATCGCAGCATGCAACTCGCATTGGCCCAAGGGTGTCAAGCGAGGAAAAGATCAGGATGATGGAAGGGCGAGAATGCAGCGAATAAGAGAAGCTGGTCAGGCTCAGTTTACTTTGTGTAAGAAAATGCCAATGCTTTGTACATGTTAGGTTACAAAGAAAGAGGCAAGGACGTCCAATCGTTTGCCCTTGGCGGCAGCTCCTCCACACTGAACAACGCGGCCTCGCAGGTGGCCAGCCGTTTCATCGACCTGGGATTCACCCTCAACCTCTCACCGCTGTACCACTCCGCGGATGCGACGCTGAGCTACATGCGAGGCGTGGTCTACGGGTTCATGGATGTCCTGCAGACCATCGACGAGAAGCACTGCAAGCTGCCGGATATCACAACGACGACCATTGCAAAGTGTGCGTGCGGGGATTATGCACACCACATCAACAGCGCGAGGAGGGGTGAGGGCATCAGGGAGCATGCCTTCTGGTGCACCGGTGTGATGCAGATCCTGAGGTCCGACGGCAAGCCATACCTCATATTCAACCCGTACACGTTCCAGGAGCTGGTCGACGCATGCCGATACAACCCATCGACGGGCAAGGGGATGGATGCCTACCTGCGTTGCATGGCAACCACCACGCGGTTTGGGAGCTGCGACACCTACCGCCCAACGCTCCCCTTGTTGGAGCGTCAGGGGATCGATGCTGGGACTGTGCTCACGCGCTGCCGCTCCAACTTTGCCAACAAGGTATGGGACACGGGGGCTGCCTACATCTCCAACTACCAGCTCTACCCCGACCTGCAGAACCTTGGATTCATCATCGACAATGTGTACAACCCCTCATTCATCCAGCAATCGGTGCTGAATTGCTTCTCCGAGTCCGTGCGCGTGGGAACCGGAACGGATGCCTGCCTCCTCGGCTACCTCACCCTGATGAACACAAGCCGTGTGAATTACTTCTTGTATAGCATCGCAAGCTTCTCCTCCGACAATGCGGACTATGCAGACATCGATGGCTGCGAGGTCTTCACGGGTCCGGCACAGAACCCCAATCCGGCGATTGCCCACGAGTTCAGCCAGTGCCTCAGCACCTCGCTCTCCTCCCAGTGCCAGCTCCCGCAATACATCTGGTCGGGGAGGACGAGCAACCGCGTCCCGATCGCCTCGCTGCATGCGGTAAGCTACGTGCCCGGATCGCAGGCCCTGTACCAGTCCGTTCAGGACGAGTACGACGCGGTGGCGGCGGAGGCCAGGGCGCTATTCACACCCGAGGTGCTGGGCTGGTCCAACACAGAGCTCGATCTCAACTTCTTCTCGATGGAGGGGGATGTCATCCACCAGCTCTTCGACTGTTACTTCCTAGGGCCGTTCTCCGCAGCCGAGCTCTGGCCGTCGGGCGGATCGCGCTCGCTTCAGGTCCTTCAGTACTACCGTTCCTCTACCCTGGATCGCACATTCCAGATTCCATCGGCAGGCTGCGACCCGGCCCAAGACGCATGCTGCCCGCAGGTCTCTCCCTTCTCCTGCGGCGGGCCGGGAAGGATGGCAATCATCCACAGCTTCATCCAGACGCTGAAGAGATTCAACACCGATAGCAGCAACAACCTGCTCCGACAGGCAGTGCAGAATGGGGTGAGGGCGAAGCTGAGGCAATTCCGCGATGTCCTCACCAACACCCTCCTCTTTGGCTGCCAGTGCGGAGACGGAACGAACAACCTCCGTTGCGGCAAGGCCAACGAGCCGGACCTCTGGACTTCGAAGGACATCCAGGGCATCAACTTTGACATCCTAGAGACGGAGGATGTGCTCTCGGGCATCTACGAGAAGATCAACCAGCACATCATCGACATCTACACCAATGTGACAATGTTCAATGAATACTCCTCCAACCTCACGGAGAGCCAAAAGACGCAGGCCAAGGATGAGTCCCTGTTTGACACCTCGAAACCCATCCTCCGGTACGACACGGAGGACATACTCGACCCGAAATCGTCGCAGAACCTCTGGCAGGTGTGCACCAACGTTCTCTCGCAGACCTTTGCCGTCCTCCCTCTCAACAGCACGCTGGACGGGCTTGCCCTCGACACCATCTACAGCGCCTACCAGCACGATGCCACTGCGAACCCCTCCTCGGGATACGTTGACGGCATCGAGGAGACGGTACAGACACTGCTCTCCAAGGCCAAGGCAGAGTCGCCGTTCTATCACGGATTCAGGGGAGGGGATGTGAGGTACATGCCATCCAAGAGCCAGCGGTGCAGGAACTCCCAATCCACGGTAAGGCCTGTCGCCTATGACATCCTCCCCTCGGCCTCGGGCAACCGCATCACCCTGGATGCCAGCGGGACATCCTACACGATGCCCCCTCATCTCACGGGTATGCAGACGGCATCGTACGGGGCCTACGGGCTGAATCTCTCCTCCTTCACCACCCGCTGCTACTGCGGTTGGAAATCCACAGACGGCACAAGCTGCTCTGTTCCCACGGGTGTTTGCCAGACGGCGTCATTGCAGGGGACCGCTCTGGATGCCGCCACGACGCAGGAGTTCTACTCGATCTGCTCTGCAGGGTCCTATTCCACCTTCTCGCAGTGGTTGGCGGTTTACCGTACGATGGAAGCCGTGTGGATGCCCACCTGGGTCTGCACGGATATGCAGCTGTCGGATGTCTGGGGAATTGTGAGCGACACCAAGGTGGACAAGTGGGCCGCGGGGGTGCAGGGCTCCCTCTTGGGGGGTTACGACTTTGACTGGGCGGACCTCCTCACGCATGGCACATCTGGGTTGAGGCTTGCCAACATGGATTACCTACAGCAGAACTACCCGGAGTTCCTCAATCCCTCGTCCCGCAAGCACAAACTGTACAATGCAGACACCGACACCAGTGCTGCCATCGAGGATTGCATCGATGACACCAACAGCGATCACTCCAGCAATGGGTCAAGGACTACG